CACTGTCACTACGGTCACTATGCTCGATAACACTCAGTGCTTTTCGCTTCGGGTTAACCCTCTTCTTAGGAGCCATCCAAACAACTATAGCATGGACGCTACGCCATTAATTGACACTAAAAGCTGTCTAGAGTTGGGGCTGGCTGGCATTCCATACACCTTTCTGCTAACGGAACTCACTTCTCCGGCTCTGTCTTGAGCCTCACTGTCTTAGAATACTGCAAGGTTCGTCATTTTCGATGGTTTTGGTTTTCTACGTAGGCTACTACCCCATATGTTCTCGATGGGTTCGCTGGACCGACTTAAGTTCCCGGTGAAGGCTAAAAATGAGAAGACTGTTTACCTGTCTCATGTTTCGCTGCTGTCTGTCCGTTTTTATGCTCTTTCCACAGTGATCTGTACTAACTGCATCTCACGAACTGTCCTTAGCAAAGAATTACAAATGTAGGACAGGGAAGCGATAACGGAGCGACGAAGCATTCCAAAGAAGAGCCTAACTGGCGAGCATTTGTTAATAGAAAAGGGGGGGAGATGGAGGCGGCAAAACGGGTCTGGGCCCATGTAAAAAAAGCAATGGTATATAGGAAACCGGACCTTTATCAGTAATGAGAAGCTCTCTCTCTCCCTCTCTGTCCCGTAGAAGACACCAATGCTAGGAAATGGCATGCCGCAGGACATGATTAATTTTGCCGCAACGTATATTGTGCACATGACCGCCCACTTAAAGACTAAGCGCGTGCCTTATTATAACCAGGGAAGATGATGGTGATCTATGTGTAGTGTTTGTGCTTAGAGCACTACACTCAGCAGGCCAAATCCCGGGTTATTGGAAAAGACAGAAGGCATCAAAGTGAAGAGTTTATTACGCTCGTAATCCAGAGGACACTGGCGAAGACAGGGCTAGTATTGACTGCGTCCCGTCATACCTGGGGGAGGGAGCGAAGCAGCGGTAAGCGGCTGTTTTTATGTGATTGTGGAGCCAATTGAATTGGTGTCTAGAACCCTGATTTGACGTCTCGGGTAGCAGTGACTATCGCAGGGGGTTAAGTGTGTTAAACCCTAGCAACTGCGATCCTTAGACCACGGTTCCTTAGGAGAGAAGAGAGAATGTGGTGACTCACTCCACATCGGCAAGCATGTCCGGAGGCGCACTGCTGCTAACGCGTGCGTCTGCACTGAAGGCGGCTTCTGTAACAGCCAATCAGATCCCGCAAATGCTGGTCTCTCTCGGCGGCGAATAGGACGCATGCACGCCTTGGTCGATCAGTCTGTCCGGCCAATAACCTTCAACACAACCAGACAATGCCCGTTCTCGCTGCCGCTGGCATGCCTGCTGCTAAAACC